TAAACTGGCAACCAGAACTGAAAGGGGTAAACTCTAGTCGATTTTATTACTGAGGTGTAACCTATGTACAAGTGGAGTATATATATGGTTACAACGAGAGCAGGCCCGCAAATGGCGGAGCTGAGCGGAGTGGAGCTAACGGGGTTAGACATTAGCCGATTGAATATTACTGACGAGTCGGGTTACAGGGTTAGCGGAATGGTAGGCGATAACCCAGAAACGGAAAGGAGGGATAGGCCCGAAGGTAGGCTTGCAGGGCAAGCGAGTGTATTGCCCAGTGGAGGCGGGAGTGCGCTAGTGGATGTCGGAGCTGTCCGGAAGCCTTCGGGGCTCCATACTTAGGGAGGCATAGGTAATAAATTGAAAAGAGGGGGTGGTGACCATCGAGGGGTACCGAGGTGATTGCGGAATGCGGGAGCTCCGAGGTTAGTGAAGAAGGAGCGGAGGTAGACCGGAGGGATCGGAGGGAGTGGAAGTTGATGGCTGGGGATGGATATGACACATATATAATTAAATATAATGAAGTAGACTAGTTTCAGTCAACAGAGAGAATGGGGATGTCCATCAGCAAACCCAACCAGGAGGTATGAGAGCTCATAGAGCTCTCAGAGCTCACAGAGCTATGAACTTTGAAAATTGCAGGTCCCCCTCTCTGAGAGCTCAGGAAAGTAGCTCAAAGCTCTGAGAGCTCCGAAAAGTAGTCAAAGCTCTGAGAGCTCATAGAGATATATTTGTCCACAGAGGACTATTAGCTCTATGAGCACCCTGAGCACATGTTTAATTCGCAAAAATTCAAAAAAATAAAAAGCTTGACTACAGTATCATGTGACTGGCCACAGTCAAGTTCCTACCCTAGGGTCAACTGGACAACAGTCTACTTAACTCACAACCCCTCATGTGGCACTGCACACCAAGGGCACACAACCCAATTGATATATACACTGAATTTAGGGTTATAAATAGGGTTAATCCGAAATTACTTAGGGGAAAATGGGGGGAAATGGGGGGGAAATGGGGGAGAATGAGGGGGAAAATGGGGGGGAAATGGGGGGAAATGAGGGGGAAAATGAGGGGGAAAATGAGGGGGAAAATGGGGGGAAAATGAGGGGGAAAATAGGGGGGAAAGGGGGGGAAAATGAGGGGAAAATTGAGGGGGGGGGAATTGGGGGGGGATGAGGGAGAAAATGAGGGGGGAATTGGGAGGGGGAATGAGGGGAAATTAAAGGGGGGAAAATGAGGGGGGAAATGGGGAAATTTGGAGGGGGGGAATGAGGGGGAAAATGAGGGGAAAATGGAGGGGGGGAATGGGGTGACATTTGGAGGGGGCAATGAGGGGGAAATGAGGGGGGAATGGGGTGAAATTTGGAGGGGGGAATGAGGGGGAAATGAGGAGAAAATTAAGGAGGAATTGGGGGGGGGGGAATGAGGGGACAATTGAAGAGGGGGATGGGGGGAAAATGAGGGGGAAAATGAGGGAGGAAATGGGGGGTAATTGAGGGGGGAAATGAGGGGGGGAATGGGTGAAATTTGGAGGGGAGAATGAGGGGGAAATGAGGAGAAAATTAAGGAGGAATTAGGGGGGGGAATGAGGGGAAAATTGAAGGGGGGGATGGGGGAGAATTGCAGAGGGAATTGGGGGGGGGGGGGGAATTGAGGGGGGGGATGAAGGGGGAAAATGAGGGGGAACTGGGGGGTTTCTAAAAACTTGAAAAAAGTCAGGGAAAATTAAGGAAAATTCAGAAAATTCAGGGAGAAATGGGGGACTTTCAAAAAAAATTGAGAAAAGGAAAATTTCTAAAAAATCAGGGAAAATTAGGGAAAATTCAGAAATCTTGGGGAATGTTAGGGAGAGAAATTTCAGGACATTTAGAAATAATTTAAAAAAATTGAAATCACCTTTCTATCATAAAATTTTTGCTATCTGAAAATTTCAAGGCAAACTCCAAAATCCAAAATTTTACACTATATATTTCATCTCCTTTCTCACCCAAAACTCACCCAATTTTGACAATTCAAAAGGCTTGGTATGGATGTATGGATGATATCTGAGGGATACATCAGCTTTCTGTTTGCTTTATTGGGCTGTATTTTAAATTTACTCTTTTTGGGACACTTTTCAAAACTGATTTATACCCTACATAACATGCATGGTTACATTGCCACACTTAAGTGCTTTCCAATGCACATAGATAGAATCATCGAGTTTTGAGCAAGAAATGAGATTAAGTGCAAAGTTTTGAATTTTGGAGTTTTCCTCAAATTTTACAAATAGCAATAAAAAAGTGCTGTATCTCAGCATATTCCATGGATACATCAGTAAACACAAAAGGTCTATGAGGTCTATAAGCCTGCTGAGATCATAGAGCTCATAGAGCCTTTGGAGCCTTTGGAGTGATGAGGATGGCTATTTTCCACACATTTACAGAAACATATATCCATATTACCATTGCACTACTGGTGCCAAGATAACTCAGCAGATTCCATGGAGACATGGAGACCATTCATTAGTAAAAAAAACACAAAGCTCTATGAGCTCTATGAGCCCACTGAGCTCATAGAGCTTTTCGAGTGATGATGATGGCTACTTTACATGCATTTCCAAAAATGGATATCCATATTATCTTTGCACTTTGGCATCCTTATGAGAACAAAATCATATATATATTTCATTTTCTTGACTCTATGTGTAGAGGGTGCACAGCAAAAGACTCAATTTGCTCACAGAGCTCTGAGAGGTCTGAGAGGTCTGAGAGGTCCATACCAGGTTTGCTGATGCCATCTGATGCAATGTTGCTCCGGAAATATAGCCGGCAAAACAGATTGCAACTATTGACAGCAAAATGCATCCCGTGGTCGAGACCATCTCACTTTGTTGGCAAGGTCTAAAATGGCCGCCATTCTTCATGAGGAGGCACTTTCGACTGAACTTCTCCAAGATTTGAAGAATAGTGGATTCACGACTTGTTTTCTTCAATCCCAGTGGGAAGAGCAAAAGTCTTTGCAGCTCTCTGTTCGGCTTGTATGCACATTTCCAATCCCACATTCGGTGTTGGCTTATGCTGTTATGTCCTAGACAATGACCAAGCTGGAATGAAAAAGTTCGCAAAACTTTTGGAAGCCAAACAGTCGGCTCAGGCACATTCGGATGCATTGGAAGCCGTAAAGAAGGAGCTGGATCGTATCGTCCTGATACGAACAATGGCTGATAGTTCTACCGATCTCAAGGAGCATTTCAAAGCTGCTCAGCATCTGCAGGAGTTACATGATGAATCCCAAAAATGCTTGCGCGATTTGACTGCCCAAATCGGTCTGTCCGATCTGAAACTTCCGCGAAATCCATCTGGCCCAGAAAGGGACTACATCGAGAAATATATTCTAGCCCGGTTCCGCAAACATTCTATACTTATCCGCTTGGCCAAGTACCAGGATGAGATGAACCCTGTTCAAAGCTCCCAATGGCGTGGAGGGTGGCTAGTTGCAAAAGTCGGTAAGCCTTCTCCTGCTTGAGGTGAATGATGCTGTAGTTAAGAGCCCATCCGGTACTTTAAGGATACTCGAGGATGGTCTCAGTGTTTAGTAGTGCAAACGACCGTGTGTCATATATACACGGTAGAGGCAGTAACTAGTCAACTAGCTAATAACCGGTAGTCTCGGATCAAGAATGATAGAAGATCATGCAGCGTCATAACTGACAGCCGCAGATCGGATCAGATCGGAGATGAAGAAGAAGAAAAGAAGTAGAAGCTGATGGAGATACGGGTCATGTGGCAATGCGCTACTTACGCTAGCGACCCGAAGGCGTGCCCTGACACCGTGCCCAAACCATTTCTGCCCATGTTGCACAATATAACGAGCTTGTCAACAGCCTTGAACATTCTGTCAGACCATCCTGGTTCCCAGACTCTCAAGTGCATGCGAAAATGAATGTCAAAGAGGTGCTCAATGTGGACCCCAGTGATGAACAATGGACTAAGATGTGGGAGAGCCTGTGGAACTCTGTCAGGGCACGCCCGCCTGACCCCGCGCCGCACCCCGCGCTGTACTGCACTACCCCGCTATCACTCCCCGTCTCTCCTCCCCCACTTTCCCCTTTCTCTCTATCTCTATTTCTATTTCTATTCTATGGTCGATTTCCCTTTCTCTATGTACCACTACATACCTAACCCCGCCCCCCCTGATCGCCGCACGTGCTGCACACACCCCTGCCTACTGAGCGGCCACCTCAGGATCTTCCGCGGAGACACCCAGGGAGGTGCGGCTGTGTGCGGAGATGATGTGGCTTCCTCCACGTGACCCTAGCCGCATGTATATAATAGTGCCTGGGGTGGGAACAGAAGAAGCAGCCTTCTTCTCAACTTCCCACTTCAGACTAAGTGGTCGGGGACGCTCACCCTGCGACAGGATCGCCGCTACGCACAGCTGCTATTCATCCCACCGAGTCCTGCGCGCAGGGACCTCGCCGCTTTCGGAGCTGTCCCTGACAAACTCCAACTGGTCCCTGGATGAGAAACCACCAGCCTTCATCATCAATCAGCAGGTTCGCCATGGGATAGCAGCAATGCTATCACTTGCTCGTATTGAGGAAGAAAAGTGCAGGCTTGCCCAAGAAGAACTTAATGCACGTACCTGGATCGTCCAATCAGTGGACTCGTTGATTCGAATCATGGACAATATCCATCGTATGTCACATAAGTTCCACTGATTACCTGTATTGCTAATCTTCTTTTTTGATCCCAGCCCTATTCAACCACCGATTGCAACTATGCTTAAGGTTGTCCCTCAAATGCCGTGATACGATCGTAAACAGTCCATTTCCCAACATCAATCTATGGTGTGCATCAGCACACTATCTACTCACAAACTTAGAGCGTCCCGATGCCAATGCTATGCCAAGTACCACTGAATATTCTTCCTTCTGCCTTCTCCCACCGTCTTCCACCACTCTACCCTCAGAAAGTAATGACATTGACCCTGAAGACGATGCTGAGGCCAGAAACGAGCTAAGTGCCCTTAATGGGCTTATTAGGATGAGTCCTGAGCCGGACATAGATGCTGATCATGCTGACCCCGACCTGCCTACCAATGCAGCTAGTGGCCTGGGAAATGCTCTCGACCCTGAGGTGGCCCCAAGCCATGTAGATGACGTGCTAGAAGCAGGGCCAGATGGTGCAATTGACCTTGCAGGGAATGTCGAAACATTCAGCGAGCCTCTTGCCAATTTGGCTCCACCTCCTACAGCTATTTGGCATAATCAATCAGGAGATGCAAATAATTCCAGCAGTAATGAGAACATCAAAGAGATGTTCTGGAATCAGAACCCTCGTCCTCAGAGCCTTCCCCCAATTTCAACGATCTTTGATGCTATACGCTCACCCAGCAAATCCTCTCAGCAACAAAAGCCAACGAAAATTTGGAAGGAAATAATGGAGTTGTACTTGCCTAAAGAATCAGGAAGAGTGAGAATTCCCCTGGCCTCCCACCACTCATCCCACTGATGCTCCATTAGATGGTGAAACAAGACAGCCAGACAAGATACTACAAACACATCACAATCTTCCCCGATGCACTAGTAACGGCCACGGCTGATAGATGGCACGATAATTGATGTGTACATTGAGATGCTGAAAGACCTCACTGACAAAAACCTGCAGGACCTGCTCAGTACCACCCGACCCCAAGTGATCATGTTTCCTACCCAGTGTGAGGGAATGCGACATCATTTGGCAGTTCACCTATTGGATGTATGTTGGAGTGCACTCTTCAACACTGTGCTGACCAGTTCCTTAGTGAGCAACAAAAAAGATTCAAACTGATCTTTTTGAAGCAACCGTTGGACAGTCCCATGCTATTCAAGGAAGCGCTGCCACTGGCTTCTTGGTGTTGTGAACTTTGAAGAGCAAGAGCTGCGCTATCTTGACAGCAAACCCATCCCCGAAACCTCCAATATAAACTGCCACGGCCCATGTTACAGGAATGGGTTCCGGGGAACCCAACCTGAGCCGTTCGGCTCACTAATGGAGGTGGCTGCGTAGCCATCGGAGGGAGAGTGGAATAGGATGAGTGTACGGAAGTACCACCTGTGTGTTGGCCAACGGTAACTTGGCGCTCCTGGGAGCGTACTGGTAGCGAGTATGGTGTGGGCTCCTTGAGGGAGCCACCTGGCTGTCTGCTAACGGGGACTTGGCGCTCCTGGGAGCGTGCCGGTAGCGGGTATGCTGGGAGTGTTTGGCTAGCGGTAACTTGGCGCTCAATGGAGCGTACCGGTAGTGAGGGATACTGGGACTCCCAAAGGGAGTCACCCAGTTGGTGGCTATCGGTGACTTGGTGCTCATTGGAGCGTACCGGTAGCGGGAGTTGTTTGGGAAAGCGGGCTGGTGGACCAGTGCACGGTAGAGGGTGACCGTGGGAAGTGGGACCCGTGGGTGCGTGGCCAGGCATCCTGGAGCTGCCTGGACCATATCCTTCTCCTGAGGAGGTGGGATAGGCTACAGTTCCTGATAGGGAACTTCTGGTTGGATGGGAGTAACCACTCAACCACCCGGTGGACTGGTGGGAGTGGGCAGCAGGAGGTTGGGTGTGGGAATGCCCTCCTCGCTGCGGTTTTGTCATGGAAAGGAGGAATAGGGAGGTGGACATGATTCCAAGGTTACAGGTTGAGTTTACAGTGGTGGCACAATGGTGAAGATGTTACAATTGCGGTACAAGGTTTTTGGGTTATGTATTCGATAATGAGAAAACATCTCGGCAATTGCCATACATATCATATGACTTGTATCTATCTAATACAACTGTTATAATGGCCAAAGGAAGTCCTTTGGAAATCAACAAATCCCCCAGCCAGCACCAAAACCCAGTGGGAAAGCTTGGCATGGGGTTTGGCAGAGAATGAAGTGAGAAGAAGTAAGAAATATCTTACCTGTGTGCCTGGTCTATAGGAGTCTAGGCCCATTTCCCTAGCAAAGGGCCTCAAGGTCTGGTTGCCTGTCACGGACCATAAGATTCTCCATTTCCATAACAGCCCACGTTGGGTTTTTACAGTGCGTTGCCTGATTCTAGTCCATGCCCCAGTGTTAGTGATACCCTTTCTACAGATACTCCAACAACTGGTTGACGCTGTCTGGTCATTCACTCACCCTGATGGTCAGCATGGGTTCAACTGGTTCAATTGGACCACGAAAGTAGTCACTGTAAGTATACTATCTTGCTTCGACCCGAGTATGACATTCATTAACAGTCCCTAGATGGAGGAACGACAATGGAATGGGTATGATTGTGGTGTGTGGGTCATGGCCGATGTTCAAGCTGTGCATGTTGGGCTTGACGCTGCACCACTGGACACAAATATTGATAGCTTTCGAGATCAGGTAAAACACCAAATCCTTTCCCTCCCCTCAACAAATCCCTGCTGGCTGCCCACCTGGAAAACCTTGGACCCCCATCTCATTCATGAACTGTGGCCTGAAGTAGCGGCAAGATTTCCCATCAATTATGCCCAACTTGAGATCGACCCCACAGATGCTCCAATAGTGATGGATAGTGAACAAGAACAAATAGATTTAAGTGACTAGTAGGCATTCCCTGTACACTTGGTTCTGAACTCATATCTAGTTCCCCCAAATGACATACCCCATTGATCTTAATTTCTTCACGGAAGATTTACATCAGAGACATCAGAGACACAGTGTGTGAGAGTCTACATCCCGGAGAACATCCCAGGTCCATCCCCTGGAACGATGATCACTTGGAGTTCGTCACAGAACACGAAGACGACCCGGACTTCCTCTTCGTCTACTCCGATGGGTCCAAGACAGATGAAGATGGCCAGAGAGTCACAGGCTATGGCATAGTAGGGTACTCGGTGCGGAGGGATCTGTCTTTCTTGCGGACGAAGAGGACTGGTGCTGCGTGAGCGGAAGTAGTGGGACGAATGAACCCGGAGGCTAGGTGTTCATCTAAGAACGCCCGGAGGGCCTCGAGTTCCGAAGTAGAGAGAGAGTACATAGTACCCAAGGGTGGTGAAGTGCCTTCCTCAAGGTCGATCTTCAGGTCGTGCTCACGGTGCGGTGCCAGCGTCGAGGCTTTGCTCTTACTGAACACATCCGCAAACTTGTGATACTCCTTCAGAATGGCTGAGAGGTCAACGGAATCGGTGTGGGATGAGGCAGCTCTCAAGCGGCTGTCCTTGGAAGGGATGGTTAGGCTGAAGGATACCGATCCTTCAAGTTGACAAGCCTTCGCGAACGCGGAACAGCTGACGAACTCAATAGATGGTAATGGAGGAATGGGAGCCTGTGACTGGGGTGCTGGGGGAACATCAGATGGTTGGATGTCAGACGACGGCAGTGGTGCCAGAGACGACAGGGGAGAGCTTGGAGTAACTGTCTTGGTAGGTTCGGAAGTTCGGAACGTAATACTGCTTGAGACCCAGTCAATCAACGGATTGTAGCGGGTAAGCCAATTGTGTCCTAGGACTAGGGAACAAGATCCATCCAGCGATGTGACAAAGAAAGTCGTGGGGGTGATGTTTCCGGAAGCGAAGTGGAGGGGAATATTGATGGCATGGGTTATGATTGAGTTGGTGCTACCGTCGAATAGGCATAGTTGTAGGGGTTTAATCTGATATGTCTTCAAGGCCAACTTCTTTACGAATGTGTCGTCGATGAAGCAGTCTGAAGACCCAGAATCTACGAGTGCGGGTACGTTCTCATAGGAGCGGAAAAGTTTATTTTGTGTCCTATCATTGGATGGAGGAGAGAAAGAAGAGAAATGGAGAGAGGTGGATTGATCTATGGAAGTAGTCGGAGGGGGTGGAGGAGAGAGTGGTACATCAGCAACACTATCTACAACGGGTAGAACATTAACCGGAGGGTCAACATTGAGAGGAGAAAATAGGCCATTTGAAAGAGAAAAGGAAATGGGAATATGGAGGGAGGATAAGTCGGAGATGGAAGACACGTTTAAACACACTTCTTTGAGCGCACAGAGGGAAGAATCGCAACCCCTGGTCCGTGCGGAGTCCATGGGGGTGCGGACTAATTTTTTGCTTCTGCGGAAGCAGATCCTTGCTCCTCGGTCTGGGCCGAACGGGCCTTAGATGTGCGAGAAGACCTGAGTTATGAGTCTAGCTGGATAGACCTGTTACAACGCTGAACACCAACTGGCAGAGCCAGATTCACCGACTCCCTTCGACGATGGCTCAGACAAGCTGACATCAGGAACACTGGGTTTAAACCTAGGAGATGCTTCCATCCCACCTCCATCTCCCAACTGGCCGGGTGCAGGCAGTTCGGTCTTCCTACCTCCTCCAATTGTGGTGGTGCCACAGCCAAACGTTCATCCTACCAACACCCCATCCGCCCTTTCCACTGACAACTCTTCCACCTCATCCTCTCCCTCGGGTTTGTTGAGCCAAAATCGCTGGAGGAAACTGCCTTGAGAAGAGAGAAGGTCCCAACCATATCCCAGCCAAAGAGATGGACCAGTCTTGGGTCATTCAGGACAGGCTCATTGGCAAATGGGGAGTGAAACCCATCAACCTCGGATGGACTCATATCGCCCCAAACCTAGTCGATCCAACTATGACAGGGATGCAGATAGAAGGTGGTCTCCACAACCGACGTCTTGGGATTTGATTGCTCGAAGGGACAGCCGCCCTAACCCAAGAGACTCGAATCTCGATTCTTTCCCATCTAGTCTGGCACCGTATAGCACCGGAAGGCCACCATCTATTCCGCAGATGCCAACTTTCTGTCATATCCATACAATCCCAACCTCCGCTCCGGGCTCCCGGAACTCCGAACCTGACTTCCAGAGTCCTACTTCCCTTCTGCCACCTCCTCCTTGCTGACTTCCAAGAGGTTATCCCACCTCCAGCTCCAACACCACCTTCGGTCCGACTCTGGAACATTCCGGTTCGACCTCAACCTCGACACCTTCCAGATGAGCATGCAACACCTATGTTCCTGACTCCGGACCTCTGCTCCAGAACCCCGTTGGCATCTCCATCTCCGGAACCTCCGGTCTTAGCTCCGACCTCGGGCTTTGACCCCACCTCTGCTTATACCCATTGTATTGGTTAGCTCATTCCATTTAATTACGTTTGCCAATATTCCGGAGTTTAACTTCCGAATTCGGACTTTCCGGACTTACCTCGGACCTTGCAACTATTGCATTGTCCTATTCAATTCCACTATTCTCCCTCATTCCTATTTGGGCTGCTGCTTCCTTTCTATTCAGTCAGCTGGCCATTCCCCACTCCCATCCTCCTTCCTTCCTCCTTGGGCCTTGGCCCTTCATTCCTCCTTTGGGAAACACCAAAGTTGAGTCAAACACTTGACCCTCGGTGTTGTTCCTCTTTCCATCTCCCTTTGTCTCCTTTCATCCTACCCTTGTTCCTTTTGATTCTGGACCCCTCCTTATATACAATGTACCTAGTAACTTGTAACCTCAGTCCGAAATTGACTTGAATTCCCCAAGAGACTTTCCCTCTGCTAGATCCGAAATTAGGACCCCAGGACAACCAGCAATGGCACAGTGCTCCACATGAGTTGCTGAGGCCAAGGTCCTTCCACACTAAGTCTCTGATTCCACTCCGGAGTCGTCTGAATCCACCTGTTCTAACACTTTCGCAATACCAGTCAATCCCACATGGGTGGTGGATAGCAACACCAACACAGCTGT